GGAGCCCGATGTGGGACTCGATCCCAGGACCCTGGGATCATGACCTGAGCCGAAGGCAGACGCTTAACGACTGAGCCACCCAGGCGCCCAAGATTTATTTATTTTAGGGGGGAAGGAATTATGTGTGCGTGTGAGCTGGGGAAGGGACAGAGGGAGAGGGAGAGAATCCTAAGCAAACTCCCCACCCAGTGCAGAACCCGAGGTTGGGTTCGATCCTACCACCTTGAGATCATGACCTAAGCTGAAACCGAGAGTTGGACACTCAACTGACCGAGCCACCCAGGAGGCCCCTTTCAGATGTATTCTTAATGCTTCAGTGTTAGCTGGGGATATTGAACCTGCTTATTTTCTGGTTTCAGACAGAGGACCCCAGTAAGTGCAGTCCTCGATTTTGGGAGGAGCTCTTCCTTATGAAGGTAAACTTGATGATATCTCTGGATTTTCCTGGTAACTGAAATTGCTTTCTCATGTTCTAGGTGCTACACTAAAAATGCACTCACATTAAATACAATTCACTAAAAATGTTACTAAAAATAATACCCTTACTCTTTCCTTGGTAGGTGAATTTGGAGTACCTAGAAGGCAAGCTGGAATCTCTTGATGGTGAGGAGTTAATGAAGATCAAGGATAATATTAATTGCTTATTTCAACACTGCATCCAGGCTCTGGGAGAGGAACATCCAATTCGAGTTGTCAATGCTTTGCAGGTACAAGGTTGGGAGACCGGGGAAGTCTTGTTTAACAGGGGAAAGGAATTGTAACACGTGTGTTGGGACCTGAGGAACCTAAAATTGCCCTTAGGTATGAAGGGTTTTGTTTTTTTTTCCTTTAAATCATAAACATCTATGTATGTTTGTTTAGCCATCTTTCTGGTTAAAGAAATTGACACTTGGGCGCCTGGGTGGCTCAGTCGTTAAGCGTCTGCCTTCAGCTCAGGTCATGATCCCAGGGTCCTGGGATCAAGCCCTGCATCGGGCTCCCTGCTCAGCGGAGAGCCTGCTTCTCCTTCTCCCACTCCGCCTTCTTGTGTTCCCTTTCTAGCTGTGTCTCTCTCTGT